AATGGAGCTGCCTGTAGACTTGATTGTTGCTGGCCTTTCATTGGTCTAGTGAGACGAGTATTGCAGTGGAACGCAGGGACTTGCTGCCCACTCCATTATTATTACTAGTCACTGTTGGTATTTGTGGCATTCTGTGTTGTTTCCACTCGCTGAAGGTCACAGTTCAGGGCTCCAGTGTCCGGGCTGATGACGGGATTGATGGTTGTATACAGATGCTTTTTGTAGAGCTGGTAGATTGTGACTTTCTTCATCTGTTGCCTATTCATAATTTTCCAAATGTTGTAAGTTGTGCCAACGTTTTTTTTCATTCCCCTCAAGATAATAATTGCCCTTCTGGAGGGTGGTGGTGTCCATTCTGATTTAGGAAGGGGTTGTTTTCATGCTCATTACTGATAATTCTTCCTCCTATTCTCCTCTTATGAGTGGCCTCTGATTTTGAGGCTTGGTGTGCATTGAATGACCCCAATGTAAATGGGTATTTTTGGGGGTCCTTTACTATGTGAATCGTTTAATTAATTTAAAAAAATGGTTTCTTTTCAGGAATTCTTAGGTGCTGATCACACTAGCCCAGGGTGGGCAACTCCAACCTTCCAGCTGTTGTGGAACTACAAGTTCCACGAGGCATTGCAAGATTGTCAGTTACAGGGATGACTGCCATGTTGGGATTTGTAGTTAAAGCACACCTGGAGGGCCAAGGTTGCCCACCCCTGCACTAGCCCATCACCTGTCAACTAGTGCGTTGTCACAGTTAAGTGGTCGCTTTTGTCTTGGGGGGGGGTTCTTTAAAGCCGTTTACCTTGCGTGATCCCTGCTCCCCTGGTGATCAGCGCCCACCTCTCTTCTCCCTGCTCCAGCTATGGAATGTTCCTCTGCATCATCACGTGTAATGCGAGGCCTTTGCATTAGACAGGATGACATCGGCAGGCCTCCATCTGCTGGAGTGTAGGGGGAAGGCTGCTGGCGTTGGTCATGAAGCCCGCGGGAGCATGGATCAGTTGGGTAAAACCGCTTTGAAGAACCCCCTTGATGAGCAGTTAACCCCTGCAATGCAATGCAGGGCTTGCCCCACGACAAGGCTAGTTGTACGGTGTGTGTGCATGCGTGGGGTTTATTTTTCCTGCACTTATCCAGAGATGGGTTTTTACTGTAGTGATTGGCACCTCCCCAGATCATTCATATCTCATAAGTGGCCATTTATCATTTCTAAGTGAACAGTCCTTCCAGCCTCTGCCCGATCAGTGTATGGATGGACAGCTCCACTGCTAGTATGCCTTGTGCCAGTAATGCGATGCTGCCAGTCATTGTTTACCGGATGTTTGCTGCTGCTGCTGATCACCTTTTCCTGCAGATCATTGTGCTTCGTCATAGTACATTTTGTTTTCCTTTCTGTAAGCTAACTGCATTTGTCTTTTGTTGCAGATATGAGCCGTCAGACTGCTGCAGCCATCCCAACTGGTACTTCAAAGTGTCCCCCTTCTCAGCGGGTGCCTGCTTTGACAGGAACAACGGCTTCCAACAATGACTTGGCGAGCCTCTTCGAATGCCCCGTGTGCTTTGACTATGTCTTGCCACCAATCCTCCAGTGTCAAAGTGGACACCTCGTGTGTAGCAACTGTCGCCCGAAGCTCACATGTTGCCCGACATGCCGGGGTCCCTTGGGATCCATCCGCAACTTGGCAATGGAAAAAGTCGCAAACTCTGTCCTCTTCCCCTGCAAATACGCTTCTTCGGGCTGCGAGGTAACATTGCCGCACACGGAGAAGGCGGACCACGAAGAGCTGTGCGAATTCCGACCGTATTCATGTCCCTGTCCGGGGGCTTCCTGCAAATGGCAAGGATCCCTGGACGCAGTGATGCCACACCTCATGCACCAGCATAAATCCATCACGACATTACAAGGGGAGGATATAGTGTTTCTTGCCACGGACATTAACCTTCCGGGTGCCGTTGACTGGGTCATGATGCAATCCTGTTTCGGCTTTCATTTCATGTTGGTCTTGGAGAAGCAAGAAAAGTACGACGGCCACCAACAGTTCTTCGCCATCGTGCAGCTAATAGGAACGCGCAAGCAAGCGGAGAACTTTGCATACAGGCTGGAGCTGAACGGTCACCGCCGGCGATTAACGTGGGAAGCTACACCCCGCTCTATCCACGAGGGCATTGCAACGGCCATCATGAACAGCGACTGCCTAGTGTTTGACACGAGCATTGCACAACTTTTTGCGGAAAACGGCAATTTAGGAATAAATGTGACAATTTCCATGTGTTAAATGGTCGATTTGCGGAATCTGCAGGGCCAGTGTTTAAAGACTTACTTTTTTTTTTTTTTGGCTTTATATTTCACATACTGCATTTAAAAAAAATGACTTTTATTGGCCGCCACGGACGGTGATATGGAGGCACAGCCAATGAACAGTAACTACACACATACAGGAAGCAAAATGCATGTAAAAAAATAAAATAAAGAAAACATTAAAAAAAAGAAAACCAAGAAAAAAAAAAAAAACAAACAAAAACACTAATATTTAAACATCAACCACTGAAAACAAATTATAGACCCCTTACCCAGGGTATCTTTTTGTATTTAAAAAGTAAAAAAAAAAAAAATTGGAAAAAAAAAGAGAAAATTGTAAAGTACCCATTCATTTTTGTGTTTGTAGTTTGTACAGTGAAATACTGCGTGTTTCTTTCCCTTCCCCCTTCGAACGGAGAAGCCATTACGCGCGGCGTTCCGCGTTCCTCATTTGTACGTCACCTATATAGAATTGCTGCTGATTGTGTACATTTTCTGTGTATTGCTAATTTTTATTAACTTCTAGTTTTTCATTCAATAAATTTGACTTCCTTTTTCTGTAAGTATATATATATATATATTATGTACATATATGTTTGCGATGAATAATTTGGCAGTTTAATTTTTTTTTGTTGTGTTGACTTGGCCTTCATAGTATAAAAACCAGATTAAATGAAACACTTCTGCCTTTTGATTTTTAGAATCAGTTGGGCCCTATCTCACTTTAGTCTTGCTTGAACCACTCTTTTTACATTTGGTGTCTGGTTTTAAGTGGAATCCAAGGTAGCAGATGTTCCCCTCGCAGTCCAGACCGGAATCCCAATCCAAATCTTTATGATGGGTGATGGAATGATCTGCGGGTCCAGTTTATCATCTCGTATTTATTCTATTCGACGTTGAGGTGATACTAAACTCAGGAGTTAAAGTTCAGTTTAGAAATGGATTCTAGTACCTTAACTATTAACAATACTGGACCTTATTAGTGTATCACTCGGCTGTAGGTCCTCCAATCATCTCTGAATTGGTGCTGACACTGTCCTTCCTTCTGGAGGGGGGGCCATTTGTGTTCCCCATGGTCCCTGTGTGTGTTGTAAAGTAGTCACCGCTCCAAGCTCCCTCCCCGGGATGGACTACAATCTCATGTTTAGTTTACTCATTTGTACTGACATTGTATTCTATCTTAGAGCGGTGACTACTTTACAACACACACAGGGACCATGGGGAACACAAATGGCCCCCCCTCCAGAAGGAAGGACAGTGTCAGCACCAATTCAGAGATGATTGGAGGATCTACAGCCTGATTGTAGTCCATCCCGGGAATGAGCTTGGAGTGGTGACTACTTTACTTTTGTTCTCCATGGTCCCTGTGTGTGTGTGTGTGTGTGTGTGTGTGTGTGTGTGTGTGTGTGTGTGTGTGTGTGTTGTAAAGTAGTCACCGCTCCGAGCTCATTCCCGGGATGGACTTCAATCTCACGTTTAGTATACTAATTTGTATTGAGATTGTAGTCCATCCCGGGACTTAGCTTGTTGCGGTGACTACATTACAACACACACAGGGACTGTGGGGAACAAAAGTAGTCACCCTCCAGAAGGAAGGACAGTGTCGGCACCAATTCAGAGATGATTGGAGGATCTACAGCCGAGTGATGCACAAATAGGATACATTTTGGTTAATGTATTTGAATCCATTTTTAAGCTTGAACTGCGAGTTTGGTGTCGCTTTAGGATAGACGTGCTATGACCTATGCAAACGTTTTGGACCCTTGTTTGGTCCCTTCATCAGGGATAACATTGGTCGCTATGCTTTGCCTGATGAAAGGCCCGTTGTTTGCATATGTGATACCATCTCTATCCTAACGTCACATAGACGGGATGATGAACTGGACCTTCGGCCTGCTGGTGATTATTTCCTGATTTTAACTGGAAGTCCCAAATCTGCTTGGCACCCTTCCATAGTGACTGAGGTCCCAGATATCACCTGACCTGGGGCCTACAGTCACTTGCAGCAACATCTGCCGGTGTGATGTTATTAGACTGGTTTTGGAAGAACCATTCTGTCTGTATACGGGTGACTTAGTGTGTCTTGTGTTGATAAGAATGTCTGTTATGATTTTTAAAGCTGGATTCACATCTGTACATTTATTTTTTCTTTCAATGCATTTTATATGACAATCGATGGAACGGTATCGGAATGCATGTTGGCGTACGTTGTCACATGGTGTAACGTGCATTGGTTTGCTTTTTAACATGCATTGCACTTGTTGTGTTCTGGCGCGTACTGACATACAATACAAAGTGTTGGTCACCTGCACCCCCATACGGCACTCTAACCATGAAATTATTGATCGTGGTCCTTGCAGTGATAACACAGATGGCGCGGTGCGTCTCCAAAGTATCGATCAGAAAAATCGAGCACTCGCAGGATTCAAATCATGAACTGCGTCGCCCTGAAGGGACCCTCTGTGGCCCCCGAAAACCTGGGCTTTGACGCATGTGACATCACAATTTGAATCCTGTGAGTGCTGGTGATTTACTGATTGATACTTTTATAACACCTCCGTGCCTTTTGACTCCCATCAAGGTGCTTTTATGTGCATTGCGACCCATTGGTGTGCGTCATTACGCATGTGATCACGCGTGCTTTGTGATGCTTTTGATGCTCTATCACTCATTGCAGTAGAGTATGCATCAAACAAAATGCAAATATGTGAATCCATCTAAGTGCCGTTCATGCCACGTTGTTGCGGTAATGCGCAGCAAAGCAAGTCGTGTGCGTTGATGCGGTGCCATTTATTTGATTGGCACCCCAACGCCCCTTTCTGACAGTTGCGTGTTCAATTGTGCTTTAGAGTGGTGTGCAGACGCAAATAGCGTATGCATTTGATTAGTGACGGGGGTCGGATAATGCTGTCAATCTACCAGAGATATCCGAGCAGTTACAACAATGGGTGGATTTTGGATTTTTTTTGTGAAGCTGATTTGTCCTCGCATGGCACAGCAGGTGGTTCATTAGTGGAACTGCAGGGAAAACAAATGTTACTTATCCAATGCGGTCTGTCATTAACATATACTATTTATCCTGTAACAGGGTGACAACACTGTTCAGTGAGCTCTTATGGCAGCGTTGTCACCCTCTGCACAGGTTAGTCTTAGATCAGGGATGGCCAAACGCCAACTCTCCAGCTGTGATGAAACAACAAATCCCATGATGCATCTCTCTCCGGGAGTCATGTCTGTGAGAATCTTGCAAAGCCTCATGGGATTCGTAGTTCCACCACAGCTGGAGGGCCGCAGTTTGGCCATCCCTGTCTTAGATGGATATTTAGCTTTTAAAGGGAGAGCAGCAGTTGAAAGTAGAACTAAAGCCAACACTTATTTTTATAGAGTGGGGGTTCTAAACCCTGTCAGCTTTTGCCATCTGTGTCCCATTGGGGGAGATTTCCCTTCACTTCCTGTCCAATACCCACATCAGGAAGTGAGAGGAAATCCCTACAAAGAGAAGAGTGGTCACCAGAACTAGTGTCCCCATTGGAAGACTTCTCATCTATCCCTGCTCTGGTGGCAGCCCATAATTTGGGATATTTTCCTTTATTTTCAGTGATAACGGTCACCAGGATAAATGGAGGGGGTGACTCTCCCTAATGGGGACACAGACACTAATAA